GACAGTCTTGGAAACTCACAGGGGCAGTTCTGCCTTGTCATGTGGGGTCACTATGAGTCAGCATCAACTCGAGTTCTTTTGCTTTTTGATTCACCCTAAAACCATTTGATTGATGAGCATCAGTGCTGTTGTATAATTTTGGGTTTCTAAGATTTGATTGGAAAAGGACATCGTGCTTGGTAAAGTAGATGGTCAGTAGATAAGAGGAAGACCCTCAGTGGGATGGCCACTCGACACAGTGGCGGCAGTTAAGAGAAAGATACAGGACCCCCTAGTGTTCGTTCTGTTGTACATAGGGTCTCTATGAGTCAGAACGGGCTTGATGGCATATCAACATTTTACGTTAAACTTACCCACGTTTCAACTTAGAACCAGTGTTAACTAAATTTTCCACTATTATTAACATTTTACGTTAAACTTACCCACTTTTCAACTTAGAACCAGTGTTAACTAAATTTCCCACTATTATTAACATTTTACGTTAAACTTACCCACTTTTCAACTTAGAACCAGTGTTAACTAAATTTTCCACTACAGTAGCACTTGATAAATTTCTGAGCATAATATAGAAATCAAGGAAAAATCTACCTCAATATATTGTGATAAAGAAGGTAACGAGTAAACTTGGGTAGCAAGGTTGAGAAGAGTGGTAACTTAAAAAAACATACATAGGTCATCTGCTGTACATTCAATAATTCATAGACGTTTTGCTTCATCTCATCCCCTTCAGTGCAATATCACTCATCCTAATTCCTCCCTGTGTTTCCCACCTCCACTTTCCTTTCCTCGTAAGCCTTCTTAAACTTTGCCCATGGGCACATGTTGCCCCCTTGATTTCTGTTGGCTGAGTCTTCTAAGATGTGCGCATCTCACTCGTTTTATTGCTCACCGAATAGACTTGTTCATCGATGGCTGAAAATGGAGCTTTGGGGATCACCTCAGTACTAGACCTGAAGGGTGACTAAAGGCCATAGTGTTGGAGGTCCCACCCAGCACTGACCAATCAGCTCAGTAAGCCTGGTCTCATATGATTTTTGAGTTTTGTTCAACTTTTTCTCCCACTCTTTCCAGAACCTCCTATTGTGATCCCTTTCAGGGCGGTTGGTAGTGGCAGCTGGGCATCATCTGGTCTATTGGTTTCAGGGAAATTGATGTTCATGTGATCCATCAATCCATTGGACTATTTATTTCTGTGTGTCTTCAATTTTTGTCACTCTTTTTTCCCCTCTGGATAGAGAGGACCAATAATTGCACCTTAGATAGCCACTGATGAGCATGTATGAACGTAGTCACCAAAGCAGAATGTTGTCTTTGTGGACTGTGTTATGCCAGTTGACCTTAGTGTCTCTGAGGACTAGTGTCCCTAGGCCCAGGGACTCAGTCCCTTAAGGTATTTGGTAATGTCGACAAAGTTTTCATAACTTTGCCCTCTTCATGCGCTACCACTTCATTTGCAGCTGAGACAGAATACCCAAACCTATATGTACATCTGTGGGTGGGCTCCCCTCTCTGCCCACCCCTCTCAGCCTGTGTCTATCCACGCATCTACTCTGAGATCGTTATCAGTGCAGGATTGTGTATATAGCACTAGGCACATCTTGTCGCCTTCAACTCTGGCGCTGCTTCCTTTGTCTTCCTCTGCCTCTCCCAGTTGT